TGCCCTTTACTCTGATCACAGGGTCACCCCTCACGCCTCATGCTGCAGGTCTCCACTGAAATGTCACTTCCTCTGGGAAGCTAAGGAGCCCACGTAATACTCTTTTATAGACTCCTTTTCCTGCATAGCACTTTCCTCCATTTATTTTATGTTAATAAACACACAAGTAAATTGATTGCCATACTAGCACCTTGAAGACAGAGTATCTATTTTATTCACCACTGTGTGCCCAACACCAGAACACTGCTCAGCACTTTGCAAGTGTTCAGTAAGTATCTGCTGAATGAATGAATCAACTCTAATACACCTCATCTATTCCAACTTGCTCCTTTACTTACACCTCTGCCCTATCCTAAAATGCCTTCTCCATGCCTGTCTACTCAAATCCTATCCAGCTGCCAGGAAATTCAAGGGTGAATTCTTGCATAAAGTTTTCCCCAATGCCCTGTCAACTCACCACAATACCTCTCTCCTCAAACGGTGCACAACAGTGAGCATGTATTGTGATGTCAAAATTTGGCTGTGTCATCAGATAAGTGCCAGTGTCCTGGGGAAGCCATAGGACAGCCAGCTGGGAAATGGGACAGCCCTACAAAACCCAAGATGAAGAGTCACGCCCACAGCGTTTTCTGTCTGGACCACTTGCTTGCCACTTGGCATTTTCTGACTTGTAATACCATTTGCATTGTCTTTGTTGTTGTTTTTTTTTTTAATACCATTGTTTAACTTTTCACATAACGTGAATCGTCTACCCAGCTAGACTCCACTTTTTTCTTTTTTTGTGGCCAAGCAGTGAAGTTACGATATAGTCATTTTTGCTCCCCTATCCTACAACAGGGTGTCTTGTACACAGCAGGTGCTCAGCAAAGGTGAGCTGAATGAGTGGATACTCCGAAGTGGCTTCCAGTGCTCTTGCTAGGCAGCAGGGTCACTAATGGCTGCCCCTAGTAATTGTCCTCACCTTCCCATTGCCTCCCCCACCCTACCAACCCCTAAGGCCAGAACCAGAGCTGGACTGGCTACACCCCTTTCTCTGTTCTGCTCAGAAAAATATAGAAAATACTGCCTGCTCCAGGGCCATCCACCCATTCATCCAATTCATTCATTCATTCATTTCTTATTTACTGAACACCTGCTGTTTACACGGTGCCATGCTAGTGGCTGTAGGAATACAAAGATGTTTAGGACATGGATTCTATGTCCAAAAGGGAATGGAGGCCAATGACTACACAGCCATATGAAATGTGAGACTGGGATGGGATGGGCAAGGAAGACTTCCTGCAGTAGGTGGAAATGAGGAAGCTTTGAAGGATGGGGGAGATTTGGATGCATGGACAAACTTGTTGAATGAATGAACACACGAATGAATGAAAGAGCAGAAATAATTAAGCTGAATATGAAGGGGGCACTGGGAACTTCCTGAACAAATCCCCTCAACTCTTTTATGACACACCTGTGAGTTTACTGGGACTTAGGAGGCTACAGCACCAATCCCCCTGCCATCTTGCATTTATCATCTCCAACCCACCGGTAATGACCCAACGTGCTCTACTCAGAGGCAAAAACTGTGAAGGGCCAGTCTACCCTTTGGGATGGCTGGTTCTGTCCCCATGGTGCACACCCCTGATGACTTCTCTGTGGGTTCACTGTTCATTGTACATATTAATATCTTTGAACCTCACTAAGCACTTCATACTTTCCGAAGTCCTTCCATTCGTTTCGTCATTTGAGATTACTAACTCTGTGAAATAATCAAGGCTAGTATTTTTTTCAACAGTTTCTACATATACAATTTAGAGACATTGATTACATTCTTTGAATTGTTCAACCATTCTCACCCTCCTTTTCTGAGTTGTTTTCTCTCATTAACATAAACTCACTGCTCCCTAAGGTTCCTAGCTAATCCTTCATGTTGCTGTTGTCAATTTGATCCTATATAGTTCTTAAAACAGCGTAATGCTCAAGGCAGACTTTTACTAATTAAGCTAAACTTTTGCTTGGCTTTAAGATGACTTCAGGGGATATTTTTGGTTTAAGGTTTAAAGATTATCTTAGGGCAATAGTTTCAGGGGTTCATCCACCTCCATGCCTCCAGAAAGTCTAGAGTCCATGAGAATTTGAAATTCTGTTCTGTGTTTTCCCCCTCTTGATCAGGACTCGTCTATGGAATCTTTGATCAAAATGTTCAGTAATGGTAGCCAAGCACCATCCAGTTCTTATGGTCTCATGGCAAACGAGGCAGTTGTTCATGGAGGCAATTAGCCACACATTCCATATCCTCCTCCTATTCCTGACTCTCCTTCTTCCTCTGTTGCTCCAGGTAAATAGAGATCAATCGTTGTACCTTGGATGGCCACCTGCAAGCTTTTAAGACCCTAAACACTACACAGTGAACTAGGAGATAGAGTAGAAGCTCTAAACGTGTTATTAGGCCAATTAACTGGGATGTCCCATGAAACCATGACCCTAAACCTCCAAACAAAGGAACAAGTCTCATGAGGTGTTTGGTTGCACATATCAGCCTCAGCAGCTACTCTTTTTGTTGTTGTTGTTGTATTATTGTAAATGCATCTATCCCAGAATTTTTGCCAATGCAACTTTTTATAGGTGTACAACTTATTGACACAATTACAATAATCTGCTGTGCAACCCTACCCTTAATCAATGCAATTTTTCCATCACCGTTTACCCCTTTTCCCCCTCCCTCCCGCCCTGGCAACCACTAATATACCTTGCTCTCTATACACTGG